TTGTTTTGTTAGATTTGGCACCAAAAATAGCAAAGGCAAATTTTGACAGGTGATATAGCAAGCCATTGGAGGGCTCAATTTTAACTCACCTGCTATATTTTGAATTGGCAGCCCATATAGCAGGTGGGTTGGAGATGCTCTAACTAAGGTCGGCAAACGAAGAAGAATTAGAAATTGAAAGCTTAAAGCAATAAGCTTGTTCACGGCTGTGAGTCGAGAGAAATGTGGAGTGTGTGACTTTGACTGCAATATTAGACAGTGGTTATTTCTCCGTTGTGACTGAAATTTCAGGTGGTGATTCCAGGCAATGAGCTCTTCACATCCGCCAAATCTGATCATTGGTATTGCCTCTCCATGTTGGTCAATTTGGGTCATCCTCTTTTGCACGCTTAGTAAGATCTAAACCTAATATTATAGAGTTTATTGTTGGAATCCACCACTATTTGTGAGGATATTATTGTGGTGAGCCAAGAGTATGCTACTCTTGATGATTGTTTTCCTCTAGTAGTGACTAGAGAGGAAACTTGTGTACCCTATTATTGTTGCATAGTGAAAGTTGAAATCAGACTCCAGTCCTTGTGTTTTTTTTCCCCTTTGTGGATTTTTTTTCGCATATATCTTTGTGTCATTTTGTGGATGATTTTTATTACTTATTTTACTTATTCTTAGTTTAATCGGAACACACAACCTATTTTAATTAAACAAAGAAAGGAAAAGGTTATTGCTGTGTTTTGTTAGTTTTGTTACTTAGTTGTTTCGTTTCTTTTCCCAACAATAATCTATCATTGAACCTAATAAAAGGGGTCCTAAACATTGTTTTTATCATAATCCAACTAAATCAAGCATTTGATTTCAAAAGGGCTATTCAATTGATTAAATTTCAAAAAATAGAATAAATTAAGTTTTTCTACTCGCACCAAATCTCAATCCTTCCTAATCTTCACTTTTGTCATTACCAAACCATCCAATTGACACTTTTATCATGAATATAATTAGGGGTGTAAGTCGTGTTGTCAAATCATGTTCATGTTGTATCAACCTAATAGTATTTTGTTAAATATGTCAATTTAAACACGGCCCATTCAATAATTGTACCATGAACCCTTCACATGAACTAGAGCTACAATTTAGGTAGAGTGGAGGTACAAACCGACCCAATATATAAAATGTTCAACCTTAACCCAACCTTTAACCCTAACTACTCAACCCGAACTCAACCCATTTTTTTTTATTTTTAAACTCGAGTTTGCAATTCGGGCTGAGATTTCGAGTTAGAAAATCGGATTAATTCGGATTGCCAATACGAAGCAAAAGTTTTTAAAAACTTATTGCAATTATTTAATAAATTATAAACAAATTCTTAGGAAATTAATTCTTCAAAGTGTTTAACATACAATAAATTAAGATTTAAATAAATGAGGTTGAAAAGAAAAGAAAATCATTGTTTGAATATTATATAATATATTTAAAATATTATATTAAAAAGTATTAGAATTCGGGGTTCTGGTTGGGCTTGGCTTGCTATCACCTCAACCCAAGATCAACCCTAATTAAGCTCAAGTTAAGATTTTTTTAACCCAAACCCAACCCTAATTGTCATAAAAGTTGCCCAAAACCCCAAAATGTTGGCTCAAGTGTGCAAGTTAGTTGGCTCTAGTACCTCATGAAGCATCGGCTCTAAGGTTCAACTCCTCTTGAGTGCAAACAATTCTTTGGGGAAAGGGGTGTGAGTCAATTAGAAAAAAAAATTGTTTACCAAGTCTGTGAAAAATTGGGCTGTGCTTGGGTTAGCTAACCCAAGTTGCACCCTTAACACGAACACGACTTGTTCATTAAACAAGTAATACGACACAACTCTTGTAACTCGTTTAATAAATGAGTTGCATACCTGATCGGCTAGCAACACTACACAACCAGTTAAATACCTGTGTATAATAAATGGGTTATGTGACATAGTTATTAACTTAAAATGCAAAATTTAATGAAGAAAAAAGTGACACAGAGGATGACAAAATTCAGGGAAAGGGAGATAATTAGGCAAACATAATATTCATATTAGATTATATTGAAAGAACATAAATGTCGTAATTGAATTAAAACAAGTTATGCGATTAATTAAATGGGTCTCATCAAGTTAATCAGGTTTCGATCCAAAATTAATTAAGCGGGCTAATAGATTATGACTTGAACACAATTAAAGTCAACCAAACACGTCATGCAGAATTCTGCACCCCTAAGCCCATCGCATTTTGATTTTAATGCTTCTGAATGTTCTTGGCAGCAAAGAGGTACCGGTTGACTGAGCTTTGAAAAGATAATATTGATAAAACCAGAACGCCCGAGTCTAGCATCTTTCCTTTGCTGGCTGTTATGGAAACCTATTTGTTTTCTTTTTCCAAATTTCCAATCTAGTCCAAATAATTGTGCTCAAACAAACACTACCTCTGGTTATGTTCATTCATTTGACTTTTCACTGATCTTTTTAAAAAAAAAATCTGACCTTCACCTTACAATCAACCCCATGAACATTCAAAGGCTGATAATTTCTGGAAAGAACCATGAATATCCACGTCGACCATAACTCTAACAATTTGCCATCTTAAAAAATAGGGTAAAGTACATTAACACTCTCTAAGGTTTGTCAAAAAGATACTCAGAGGAAAGTTTATCTATTTTGAAATAATAATAACCCTTGAAGTTTGATATATCTACTAAAGACACCCCAATAGTAATAAATTGACATTTTTACCCTTTAACTTTTATATTAAATAATTTAAATGCTGAAATGACCTTTCTAACTTCATACCCATAACAAATTCTTTCTTTCTCTCCTCCCTGTTTTCTCTTCCTCAAATCTATAGTTTGTAGATATAATTTTTCTAGTCTCACAGAATTTGACAAACACTGTGAATAGGACGGATTGGACATAAACATTGAAAAATTTAAAACCAAAGCCAGAAAAATTACATCTATAAAAACAATAAAAATTTCAAAACAACTTGCATCATCAAATCAACCCACCAAGTTATTTGGAGAATTTAATAACACAAGATGGATTATGAGGAAACTAAAACATGTTCGTTGTTTTTGTATATTTCTTTTTATAACTAATGGGTTTTTTCCTTTACTTTTTTCTTTTTTCCTTTTTATTCAGAATATTCACACTAAGTGTTTTTTTTACGTAAATATTCACTCAAGTTTGTTGTTTATATATAGCTTGTTTATATTTTTACTGTACGGAAAGATTAAGAAAGCAGAGAAAAAAAAATGGTTGATGGGTAATTTTGTTTCAAAATATTATATTTTTAGAGTGCATAAATAAGTGTAATTAATGTTTTTAAAAGTAATATTGTGATTGGTTGAATGATAAATTCTAAGGAGTGACCCTCGTTTGAGAGCAACAGCTTTGTAATAATTAATCACTTGGTAATGATATTAAATTATTCTTTAAATTATTACACTTACACTTGGTAATGATATTAAATTATTATTTGATGATGCAAGTTGTTTTAAAATTTTCATTGTTTTTATAGATGTAATTTTTTTGGCTCTGGTTTTAAATTTTCCAATATTTATGTCTAATCCCTCCTATCTGCCGTGTTTGTCAAATTATTTGAGACTAGAAAAATTATATCTACAAAGTATGGATTTTGGTTGTTGGATGCATTAGGACATTCGTTATGATTGTGCCCTAGCAATATTTAAATACTCCACTTTCAATTTTTTTTTTGTGTGTATATGTGTGACAACATGTGTGTATATGTGTGACAGTGTGTGTTAGTGTTGGGGGCTGAGAAAAGAAAAAACAGAGAGGAGAGAAGGAAAGAAATTGTCATAGGTATGAAGTTAGAAAGGTCATTTCAACATTTAAATTAGTCAATATAAAAGTCAAAGGGTAAAAATATCAATTTATTATCATTGAAGTGTCTTTGGTAGATATATCAAACTTTAGAGAGTGTCATTGTCCCAAAATAGACAAACTTTCCTCTGAGTGTCCTTTTAACAAATCTCAAGGAATGTTACTGTACTTTACCTTTTAAAAAAAAAAAAAAAAAACAAAGATCAACTAAAATACTCCGAAGTGAACAGTCAAAACTTGGAGATTCCTAAGCAAAGCAGAGATCAACAAAATTTTTTAAATAAACACATTTATCTAGTACACAAACGTAAGTACTCAATCACAACATCTATTGCACAAGCACTTCAGAAAAACACCAAATTTCACAAGAGAAACAATTCCATGTAGCACAGACAGATTTAGCAGTCTTTGTAAGAAAATTAATGCTAATTAAACTACATTTTCTGCTTAATTGATATCACCATTCTGCTCCATAATAACTGAGCATCCAAATAGAACCTTAATAGCTACTTTGCTACAAAAATAAATAAATAAATAAATGTTTTAAGCATAGTTGAGGTGGTTAGTAAAACGAGACACACACATTGAGCTATCTGACATGAATAGCTCAGGCATAGTAGAGATCTATCTGTTTTAGCTAGCAAGTAAACCAGCATAGTTTAATCGACATTTTTCACCTAAAGTAAGCGAACCAAACTTGAAGAAAACTTGTTTGACTCATTAAACTCAAGAACGTCGTGATAAACATATAATCATGAGCAGACTCGTTAAAAACCGGTCAATATGGCTCATTTATTGAGCTCAAATTTGAACTTGACATTGGCTAGCAAGCGAAACAAGCCAACCTTAACCTTGGCTAGCATTGCCAAAAGAAAAACTAGCCATGATTTCCTACAAAATATCACCAACTAGTCACTTCTAATGCTTGGCATGACATCCAGCAACTCGAACTAAAGAAGCAGCTCTTGACAACTTAATTTATATAATAAAATGTGGCTCATGCCCAAAATAAAATTTTGAAGATAAAATGGCATCAAAAGATGAGCAATAACGGATAACAAATACTTTCAACATAAATCTTACCCAGAAAGGATAAAAATAATAATAATAATAATAAATAAATAAATAAAACTTTCAGCATAGGATCTAAAGCCATATCAAGCCCAAATGCTCCAAGATTTCAAAAGCATCATCAGTGAGTTTATATATTGCCCAAAGAAAATTTTTAACTACATCAACATACAATTTATGTACCACAGGCAAAATAAAAGTAACAAAAAACAGGGAAAGTGTTCACTATGCCACTTCTACTCTTTCAACGTTTCTCCACCTTCTTTGGCTTCCTCATTTTGATTTTCCACCATGATCACAGCCCTGAAAAAACATTCCAAGCACATCAGGCACAAAAAGATATAAAGATTAACAATAATTGGATGCTATAGAATCTGATAAACAAAAAAAATGTTAAAACTTTGATTTTGTTTAAATCGTTGAAATACACAATCACTAAATTGAATCGGTGTTTATGTGTTTATGAAATAAAAATAAGTTTAAGGTGTTTCTCTTGTTCAGTATTATTATAAACAAAATCGTATTATTTTTTTTCCTAAATTGAAACAAAATCGTATTTTATGTAATGGGCAATCACTAAATCGAATTGGTGTTTATGTTTTTATGAAATAAAAATAAGTTTAAGGTGTTTCTTTTGTTCAGTATTATTATGAACTATTTTAGCATATAGTAATCTTCTTATTTTAAACAAATAGGACCTTCAAGCTGTTTGTTCAGTATTATTATAATACTATTTTAGCATATTGTATTACTATGAACTAGCAAGTAAAGCAACATAACATTAACATTGACAATCATTATCCGAGCGAAAAGGAAAACTAGCTATGATTTCCTACAAAATATCACCAACTAGTGACTTCTAAATGCTTGGCACGCATCGAGTAACTCGACCTAAAGAAGGTACTTTTGACAACTTACCTCGTATGATATAATGTGGATCGTACCCCAAAAAAAAATTTAGAAGATACAATGGCATCAAATAACAAATACTTTCAGAATAAACCTAGCCGAAAAATCAAAAAAAAAAAAAAATAATACTTTCAGCATAACATTTAAAGCCACATCAAGCCCAAATGCTCTAATAGTTCACAAGCATCATGAGTGAGTGATCAATTTCCCAAAGAAAGTTTTTAACTACATCAGTATACAATTTATTTACCTTCTATTGCTTCCTCATTTTGATTTTCCACCATGATCACAGTCCTGAAAGAACATTCACATCAGGCACAAAAAGATATCAAGATCAATCATAATTGTAACTCCTCAAAGAAGAATATGAAATAGCATTTATATTACCTACTAGGGCAATGATGACATAGACGTTACTTAAATGCTAGGTTGAGCTTTTACATTTACACGTAGCAATAACAGAACTTAGCAATATCAGTAGCAAATATAAGATGTAAAAGCAAGTAACATCATCCGCCTTGCCTATTCTTTCCTTTATTCTTTGGTTTTGTTCTTCTTCTTTTTAATAAGTATAAGCAACTAATTGCAAATTTTTTGGGATACAAGAAGGGGGCTAATTTTGATCTTCTTTTCTGGAATTTCTTTGCTCCATTCACTTTTGCTCCAGCGTAAAGCTAGGCTCTCTGTATAAGCATCTGCATAAAATGAGTCCAAAGATATTGAATCTGTAGAACCACGAATATGAAGATCCATTATTTGTTCCGTTTCGGGATCATAAGCTACCAGACACCCATCTTTTTTCCCAAGCACAATTTCACCTTTCCTGGTGAATCCAACTACACTTCTGCTTAATGCTGCACTCATATCAATATTGAATTTTTAGTCCAAGACTCTGGCATGCCATGCTCCTTCATCACATATATGAAACAAGTTTTCTCACCCCAAATACCAGTAATCAGAGAGAATGATTCTTGATACTTATCAACCCGAACACTTTCCACCCCGTATTCATAAAAAATTCTACTGGGCACCTTGATCTCACCAAATACCTCATCATCCATGTGGAATGACACGATCAAGCCACAGGCTTTCCACGAAAACACATTATTAGCAAACCAATGTGCAGCCCCATTCAGATAAGTCTGGGGAGCCGCTCGTCTATGATATGTGGAAGACCCAAATGGCTGATGTTCCGCCATGTGCTTGTGCTCAGACTGAAAATGTCAATCTCGGGAGGTTTAAAATCATCGGGTGGCCAGAAATACACAATCCTGATAACCAATTGCCCATCCAGAGATCATCCAATTCCATCCTGTTCAGATTAACCTTCTGCACCAAGGGCCATTCAAGCCCATTGTAGTCCTTAAGTTCCCAAATGACGAGTGTCGAACCATCATATTGAATGAATCTGAGGTGTGCTTGGCACTCTCCTATTAGATGCCCAAACGCCTTGGGATCTCTGTCCTTGGGCTGTCTTATGGTACGAAATTGATCAGTGCTGTTGAGTGGATCATAGGTGAAAATCTTGCCATGATAAATGTACATCCAATGGAGTATTTCATTGCAAACCACAGCACTAGAATGGTAGTGGAACATTATAAAGTTACACCCTCGAGTCAATATGATTGTTTCAGTCCATTTCCATGCGTCAGAAGAGAATATCTCCAATTTGAGATTGGCGGAATGTGGTGGTGGTGGTGGGTGTTGTGGTGGTTCGAATTGATGCATTCGAACCACTCTGAAGCTAGTTGTGCAGCTACTACTATCAAAAGAATAACATGGCTTGCAAACAAATCCAACGATAACCCTTTCTTGGCAAGTGGGTGGTGGAGGAAGTTCAACCAATTCATTGTGAGGGGGTAGCAAACCTAGTAAACCCTATGAAATGTCGAGGTTGCAGAGCATAATACTAAGCCATTGCTTGAAGCTAAGTAACGAATTGGCTCTAGTTGATGTTGATCTGATGATGATGATGGTGTTGGGTTCGAAGAGGGAAGAAAGTTTAGAGAAAACCCACCAGATTAAAAAATGCGTGATTTGGATGTTAATTGGACTGCACGATCATTGTACTGGTATCAGAAGGCAAAAGGAGGCACCAAAGATGAACAATGGTGGACATAGCATTGAGCAAATGAAGAGTGGAGATCAAAGCATACCAGCGTTTTGAAACACATTTGCAGAGATGGGTGAGTTTGAGATAATTTCTACGAACAGTTCGTTGGTCAGGTTATCAAAGAGGGATTTTGTGGTGATGGAAGAGAAGAGGGCGATTTTAGGGACTCAAATGATTTGTGTCTTCTAGAAGGTGGAGAGCCAAGCACCACCATTGTCATCCCCCATCTCCATACTCTGTGTGTGTGTGTGTTACGGTGATGCTTTGTGCTCCCTCTCCATCTACTGTAATCGTGTCCACGTTTGGGTCAAGTTTTTTTTGGACTTTATGAAAATAACAAATTTCTAAAAAAAGAAACAATTCCCTGTAGCAAAGGCAGATCCAACAGTCTCTAAACAAAAAAATTAATGCTAATTATTTTTTATTATTTTTTCTCTTTTTCTGAATGTGGTTATTATATAGATATGGAAAAGATCGAGAAGATTCTCCTCAAAACAAAACAGAAAATAGGCTGCCAAAACTAAGGCAACCAGATCACTAATCAATCAGGAAATTATATGAAAATCCTCAAGACAAAAACCAAGAAACTAAAGACATTCCACACAGATCTCTCTAGCAATGGCTACCACATCTCTACTTCAGTAGCAGTAAGACAGAGACCTCTTCCCTTTAGATTTAGAAAAGAAGGCAAAGCATTATGCATGATCAAACAAGCTGTAACAACATTCCTAGCTCTATTGTGAGTCCAAACCAAGTTAAACCAGTGAACTTTCCATGTTTCCAACCAATCCTATCTTCATTTTAAGACAAATAGCAGTAAGACAGATACCTCTTCTCTCTGGTATTGTAGATTTCGTTTTCTCCTTGATTGATATCACCATCTTGTGCTATATATATATATATATAATCACCATTTTGCTCCATAACAATATAGCACCCAAATAGACCTTAACAAGCTAATTTGCTCTCAAAAATATGTTTTAAGCAGAGTTGAGGTGGTTGCTAAAATGACACCAAAAAAAAAGAAAGAAAAGAATAAAAAAGGGCTTTGAATTCTTCTCTCAATCAATGTTATCCAACCTTAGCCACAACTCACGAGTCTCAATAGTTCCCATGAATTTTTACATTCTAAGCCATGCTTCATACATGTAAAAAGAATTTGCCACGTGTAATAGACAGCAAGAATGCCTTCACAAGCTAGCAACCTGAAAGGTGAAGCCTGTTAACCATGTCCTTGAAACCATCAAATATCAAGTCATATCTAAGATATTATGAATTCAAATAACAGGACATAAAACATGTCTATGACATAAGAAAACACTTATATTGCATATACCAATAAAGATATCTGGCTGACTAATTACTGTTTTCATCAAATGCATCACATTTTTTGAGCTCAAATTAGAAGTCTATGACCACAAAGGTATGAGCGGTTCTAGAAGTGGGCTTCACAAAGACATGAAAACTAATTGATTTTTATTTGTGAAATTAAGATGGTTCAAATATATTATCAAACAAAGTTTTACAAAGACAATAGAGGATGTTAAACAAATCATCACAATAAAAAAGAACTTGCCCTGGCAGATCATTAAATGTTACTTCGATAAGTTGGCAAAAACCAACCAAGCATGGCTACCTGCCCCAAGAACATATATTTTTTGCCCATGTATTTAGAATAATCATCTGACTCTATTTCTCCAAATAGTAGTACTCCAAAGAGAAGAAAACAAATTCATGGGCTACTTGTAACAGCAAGATTCCTTTCTCGTTGCCTAGAATTTCCATATTTGTTTTGCACTTCTAATATGAGCTCTATCTCCTCTGAAGTTTCTCCTACCAATAGGGAATAAGAGTAAGTAAAAACTAGAGCTACAATTATAGAAGGCAAAAAGGAATGGTTGAAACTTAAACAAGGTAATAAGTGGTATGAAGGCTATACGTTGTGTTGTCGTCTCATTCCATCAAGTCAAAGGAAGAACAGAATAATGAGGGGTGAACAGCACTGCTCTTGGAATATCATTCAAGTTAATTAATTTAGTATCATGTCAGATATCTAGAAGATAGTCCTTTCGCCAATTAGAGGTGCTAATCCTACTATGCAGTGGCACATGGCCCACAAGTAGGGGTCAAATGAGTTATCTGACATGAACTGCTCAGGCAAAACTACATAAGAGATCTGTTCGTGTTAGCTACCAAGTACACCAGCATAGTTTAATTAACATTTTCGACCTCATTAAGTAATCGAGCCAAACTTGAAGAAATTTTGTTTGACTCATTAAACTCACAAACGTTTTGATAAACAGATAATCCTGAGCAGAATCGTTTTGAACGGTGAATATCGCCCATTTATTGAACTCAAGTTTGAACTTTTGACATTGGCTAGTAAGCAAAACAAAGCCAACTCGAGGGCACAAATGTCGATATCAACTTCCGTTGACAGGTTGACTGCTCGCCTTTGACACACACAGATCGAGAGAGTCGTATACATCGGTGTAAAGTATGGAATTATATCTGAGGGTTGTGAGCCAGAACATCAGAACACCTCCAAAGCCCTTCCTAACCAGTACGCCTGTGATTATGCCTCCTATCACAAGGGTCAACACCCCAAACTTTACATTTCAGCCGCGGAAAGCTCTTTCTAAATCGCTTAGTGTTTTAGTGGTGAGGCAAGTGAAGTTCAAACTTCTCAGGTCGATGAACCAAGAGGCGGAATCCAAAAATAGGAGTGAGTGACCCAATCATTCTAGTTCGAGACGCCTAAGTCCAGAAGATTGATTCTATTTATAGATAGCTTCTAGTGCCGTATAGGCGTGACTGAGTAGCTTACTTCATTCATAGGGAAAAGAAGTCTACCATCCGAAAGTTTCATTCAGTTGTCACTCCCCAAGTAGGGTGAGTTTTACCTCTCTTTCTATTCTGCTGAAGGCTTCAAGCCAGTAAGATCGCGAAAACCTCTTGGCTAGCATTATCCAAGCCAAAAGAAAAACTAGCTATGATTTCCTACAAAATATCACCAAATAGTGACTTCTAATGCTTGGCACAACATCCAGCAACTCGAACTAAAGAAGCTGCTCTTCACAACTTAATGATATAATACAATGTGGCTCATACCCCAAAACAAAATTTAGAAGATACAATGGTATCAAAAGGTAAGCAATAATAGATAACATACAGCATAAATCTCACCCAAAAAAGAAATGAAAAAAAAAAAAAAAAAACCTTTCAGCATAATATCTAAAGCCATGTCAAGCCCAAATGCTCCAAGATTTCAAAAGCATCATGAGTGGGTTATTAATTGCCTAAAGAAAGTTTTCAACTACATCAACACACAATGTATGAACCGTAGGCAAAGTAAAGGTAAAAAGAAACAGGGAAAGAGTTTACTATGTCACTTCTACTCTTTGAGCAGTTCTCCTCATTTTGATTTCCACCCTGATCACAGTCCTGAAAAAACATTCCTTGCACATCAGGCACAAAAAGATATAACAATAATTGTAACTCATCAAAGATATGAATATGAAAGTGTAATTGACCAAAAATATTTACGTTTATGCAACCTACTGGAGCGGTGATGATTAGAGGATACTTAACAGAACTTAGCAATAGCAATATCAAATATAAGACGTAAAAGTAAGTAAAATCATGCATCGTGCCTCTTCATTCCTTTCTTCTTTGGTTTTCTTAGCTCCACTCGCTTCTCCGGGCAAAATAAGTGACTCCTTACAAGTGATTCTATCATGTAATTTTGATCTAAAAAAAACTAGGCTCTCAGTATAGGTATCTGCATAAAATGAGTCGCTATAAGTTGGAATTATAGGTCCACGAATACGATGATGTGTTACTTGTTTCACTTCCGGATCATAAGCTACCAAATACCCAAATTTTGTCGCAAATAGAACATGGCCATTCCTTGTAAAGCCAGCTATCCAATACAATAATCCTCCACGCGTATCAATATTGAATAGTTTAGTCCAAGAATTTGATATGCCATACTCCTTCATCACCCAGATGGAATAACTATCTGTGCCCAAAACATCAATCAGAGAAAGTGATTCTTGAAACTTAGCAACCACCCCATGCACACGAAAATTGCTAGCAGGCACCATGATCTCACGAAATATCTCATCACCCATGTGGAATGACACAATCAAGCAGAAGAAATCATCCCTTCTTCGGTCAAAAGCAAGCCAGTGTGCAGCCCCATTCAGAAAGGCCTGGGGAGCCCGCTCGTCGATTGCATATGGAAGACCCAAATGGCTGATGTTCCGCCATGTGCCTGTGCTCAGACTGAAAATGTCAATCTCCGGAGCCGGAGGAGGTTCAAAACCATCGGGTCCGTCGAGATACGCAATCCTCACAACCTTGTAGTCATCAGTCAGCGAATCAAAGCCGAATTGAATGGTATGAATATAACGGCCGTGTGATTCGGCGGTAACACGCAATGGCGGAAGCGCCATTGTCTTGTGAATCGATGGATTCCATAGATAAAGCTCCTCCGTGTAATCCTCCAAATCATTGGAAATGCATACCAGACCATTGCAGCTACCGATTATCCTTAAATAAGGGTTACGGTGGATTTTCAGTGGAGGCTCAAACTCTGCATAATCAATGAACATTTCGTTTTCGCAACGTACTAGTGAGTAACGCTCATCACCAGAGTAGCTTCGAATTAGAAGAAGGTTGTTGTTGGCAAGAGATGATTGATTGAGGTGTGCGGCGATGAATTTAGGGTTTGTGATCAAAGAGTACCATGATTTGCAGGTAAAAGCGCACCGGACGACGGTCTTGACCGGTAGTCTAGTGAGGATGACGATCCACAGTTCACGAGGTAGGAGATCTGACATTTTCTTCCAATTCGTTGCTTGAAACAAACAGAAATGGATTTGAACAAACAAAACCCTAATCACTTCTTCAGAACAAGAAAAGTATTTCTTCTCTTTGTTTTCACTTCTGAGATTTTAAACCTATTGGACAAAGAGGCAAATCAATTGTCTGAATTCTTTTCTTTTTTTTTTTCACCGATATTTCTTTATTTGGTTTGCAACTTAAAAGTGAAAATGACTATTCCATTCAAATGAAAATTTATTTTTGACAATAAAAATCCATTCCACAACTAAACCTATGGAATGACCATTCCATTACCAAGTAATTTATTTAAAAAAATCAACTTTCTAAAACACCCTCATATTCCAAGTAAAAAAAGTACCATTACCTTCCACCACAATCATCTCTGCTTTTCACCACCATCGCCCACCACTTTCCACCACCGCCCACCACTTTCCACCACCGCCACAGCCACCGCCTTTCACCACCGCTACCGCCACCATTTGCCGCAACCACCGCCGCCGCCGCCTTTCACCACAGCTACTGCCACCACCTTCCACCACTACCACTACCATTGCCTTTCACCACCTTCCACCACTACCGCCGCCATCTCCTTTCACTACTGCCACCACCACCACTGTTATCGCCTTTCATTACCACCACCGTGAACTCAGCTTTAGCCAATAAACGTATGAGTCCTCGTCATGTACTCAGCTTTAGCCAATAAACAGTGAAATTTTTTCTTTTACTTCACTTGGAGACCCACAAATTATTTCAAAACTTTTTTCAAAATATAAAAAATTTCAAAAATCGAGATTTTTGAAATTCTAAAAGGCAACATTTTAATCAAATTTTAAGCACCTTCTCAATTTGAAAAACATGCTTTTATCATCCCAAAAAATCCCTTCTATTATGGGTTTATTCCGTATTTTGACCTTATTGTTGCAATATCACCATTTTGAACTAATTTAAATGTTTTTGGTCATGTTTTTCCATAATAATTAGTAATTTCAAGGTCATCAAAAAAAATTTAAATGAATAATATGTGTATATATATCATCTTCACGTTCACATACCCAAAATATTGCCAAAATTCCTTTTTGGACCTTTTTTTACTCAGTATTTCGTCAAAATTTTGTCAAACTTTATTAAATGCAAGTCTACTTGAAAATAGTGTCACAGACTTGGACCATTCCAAGCTCACGTGCGGCCTTAGACACTTTCAAGTCCCCTTAAAGCGCTAAGTCAGCCCACTCGAGTGTGCTAGCTTAGTGAAAACTAAGGCTAGACAAGTGTTTTGCTTACTTGGGTGTGTAGGAAGAGATTAGGCAAATAAGTAAGAGAGTTTGGGAATGTATGAACACTTGTATTACTTGAGAGGAGATTACAACTTAGGTTGCTTGGTGAGGAGCAAATGAACTCCCATCTCCTATTTATAGGCCTTTGGCCTTACAAGAACATTTTAGATGTGTACAAATGTGTAGCCTAGATTTAGTGTCTAGAATCCTCCAAAGAAATATCTACACAATTCTAGAACTATGTACAATGTACAAGACAAGTCTAGAGAATTCTATACAACTCTAAACAAGTCTAGAAAAGACTTGACAACTCCACACTAATCTAGAGAATTCCAGAAAGTTCCATACTTGTGTAGAGAAATCTAGAAAGCTCCGGTCCATGCAGGCTCCATGTCATCGTCTACCGGGCGTCTGCGTGGTGTAGCCTCTTAGTTGCGTGGTTTGACATTCTCCCCCACCTAAGCTCGCGAAGCCCTCGTCGCGTCTTCTTGCTTGAACCGCTGGATATGCTCTGTGAACTGCCAAAGTGTATCCTCATGTTCCTAGCTCACCTCGCTATCTGGCAGGTTCTTCCATTCACTAAATACTCTGTATACTTGGGCACACCTCACCTGTTCATCACACGATCCGCAAGGATGCAATCAACTTCCTTATCAAAGGATGTGACAACAGCCGTGGGTGCCCTCCACAATATGCCCCGAGTAAGGTCTTCCGTGTCTTCATGATAAGGCTTAAGCATGCTGACATGGAAAACTGGATGTATCTTCAACTTGGATGGAAGCTCCACCATGTAGGAGACCTTGCCCACTCGCTTGACAATGGAGAACGGGCCCTCGTACCTTCTTATTAGCCCCTTATGCACGCTCCGAAAGGACTTAAACTGTTGGGGTAGTAGCTTAACCATCACCTGATCTCCCACTATGTACTCCACCCGCATTCGCTTGGTGTCGGCCCACTTCTTCATCTTCTTTGCCGCCTTGTTAAGGTACATCCTAGCCAAGTCGGACAGCTTATGCCACCTCTTGGCAAATTTGTAGGCCGCCAGACTCGTACCATCGCAAGTCGAAGCAATGGCGTTAGGTGTCATAGGCTACCGTCCGGTAACAACCTCAAATGGACTGTGATTGGTAGCCTCACTCAGCTACAAGTTGTAAGAAAACTGTGCCACCCAAAGGAGTTTGGCCCAATCTTGCTGGTTGGCACTCACATAGTGCCTCAAATAAAGCTCTAGGAGAGCGTTGATGTGCTCTGTCTGCCCATCTGATTGGGGGTGGAAACTCGTAGATAAGTTGAGATCCGTCCCCATCTTCTTGAAGAGCCCCGTCCAAAATCTACCCGTGAAGTGCGGGTCACTGTCACTGACAATGTTTTGCGGAACTCCCTAAAGCTTAACCACATGGTCAACAAATAATTCTGCTACCCTCTTTGCCGTGTAATCTGCTGGTGCGGGTATGAAGGTGGCATACTTGTTAAACCGATCTACCACCACTATAATGCTCCCGTAACCTTCTGACTTGGGCAAACAAGTGATGAAATCCATAGAGATGCTCTCCCATGGTCTCTCTAGAATAGGCAGTGGCTCTAGTAGGCCTGCAGGATGCTGTTGCTCAATCTTGTCTTGTTGGCACACAAGACAAGTCCTCACATATGTTTCCACATCATCACGCATCTGAGGCCAATAGTAAGAATCCTCTAGGAGTGCTAGTGTGCGACGCATACCTGGGTGACCAACCCATTTGGTGTCATGGCACTCCCGTATTAACTCCTTTCGCAAGTTGCCCCACCTGGGCACAAATAGTCGGTCCCCTGTAGTGAGAAGTAAATCATCCCTTAGCCAAAAGCGCCGAGTCTTCCCTTCCTTAGCTAGCTGAATAAGGCTTTTGGCTAAAGGGTCATACTGCAACCCCTATTTGATCCGCTCCATAAGAGAGTGCTGGGGCCGACTAATAGTTGTAAGCTCGGCCTTGCGACTAAGCGCATCAGCCACAACATTGGCCTTGCTCGACTTGTATTCAAAATAATAGGTGAACTCCGCTAGGAAGTCCTGCCATCGAGCTGCCTTAAGGTTGAGCTTCTTCTATGTCTGGAAGTAGCTGGTGGCAACATTATCCGTCTTGATCACAAATTATGCCCCGAGCAAGTAGTGCCTCTAAGTACATAGGCAATGGATGATCGCTGTTATCTCTTTCTCCTGCACCGTATAGCGCCGCTCGGTGTCATTAAGCTTGCGGCTCTCATAAGCTATGGGGTGTTCTTCTTGCATCAACACGCCCCCAATAGCAAAGTCTGAGGCATCCGTGTGCACCTCATATGGCTTGGAATGGTCGGGCAAGCTAAGTATCGGCTCCTTTGTGACTGCCCTCTTCAAGTCATCAAATGCCCCCTGGCATGACTCTGTCCAACTCCAAGCACGGGCCTTCTTGAGAAGGTCTATCAATGGGGCTGCTCTTGCGGAGTAACCCTTGATGAAGCGGCGGTAGTAATTGACAAGCCTAAGAAATTAGCGTAGTTCTATCACTTTAGTGGGCGGCTCCCACTCTTAAATGACCCTCACCTTTGCCTCATCCATCATTAGCTTGCCATCCCGTATCTTATGCCCTAGGAACAACACCTCCTCTTGGGCAAAGGAGCATTTCTCTGTCTTCACATATAGGTCGTTCTCCCGTAAGACTTGGAAGACCGCCCTCAAGTGCTGCACGTGCTCCTTTAGAGTGGTGCTATACACAACAATATCATCTAAGTACACCACCACAAAGCAATCCAAGTAGGGATGGAAAGAGCTTGTTCATCAAAGTACAAAAAGTAGTAGGTGCATTGGTGAGGCCAAATGGCAAAACAAGAAACTCATAAGAGCCATACCTTGTCACACATGTAGTCTTAGGCTCATCCCCGTCCGTTATCCGCACCTGGTAGTACCCCGAGCGCAAGTCTAGCTTAGTGAAGTAGCGTGCTCCACCAAGCTGATCAAAAAGATTAGCAATGAGAGGAATGGGATACTTGTTTTTGATAGTCACTTTGTTGAGCTCCCGGTAGTCGATGCACATGTGCAAGGACCCGTCCTTCTTCCTCTGGAACAGCACCGGTGCGCCATATGGGGCCTTCGAGGGTCGAATATAGCCTGCATCTAACAGCTCCTTGAGTTGCCTCCGCAACTCCTCCAACTCTGGGGGTGCCATCCGGTAGGGCACCAAAGCAGGGGGTTTAGAACCCGGTTCCAGCTCAATCTTATGATCTACCTCTCTCTTAGGTGGAAGCTTCTTGGGCAACTCCTTAGGCATCATGTCCGTGTACTCGTCTAGCACGGCTCGTATCTCCTTAGGCACCTCTTCTTGTGGGGAAGGGACTAGCTCATCATCGGGCGTCTCCATCAACGTAGTAAGATAGCTAGTCTCCTTCTTCCTGAAGCCCTTCTTGAACTACATAGTTGACAAGGCTTGGGCTTCCAACTTGGCGCCTCGCTCTACTGGCACCATGGGTGCTATGTTGCCTTCCATAATACACATAGTGTTAGCAAAATGAATGGGGAAAGCTCTCACCTTGTCTAAGAACTCTAACCCAAGGACTAGTTTGAAGTCGTCCATGGGTACCACCGATAGATCTATGCGGCCACCCCACTCACCAATGCATGCTTGGACGTAGTGTGCCATGCCATGTATAGCCTTTGCCGTTGAGTTAACTGCCTTCATGGAGCCCCCTTCTTTGCTATACTTAAGGCCCAATCTCTTGGCCTCATTAAGGCTCACAAAGTTGTGGGATGCACCACCCATGTCCACCAAAGCACGTGTGGGTGTCCCATTGATGCTCGCCTCCACGAACATTAGCCTTTTAGCTGCCGCCTTAGGGACTTCAGTTTTAGCCTTGATGGCATTAAGGATTTGTAGTGAACCCATCTGCACCTCTTCCTGTTGTTGCTCTTCATATCGGCTCGTCATGGCATTGAGGGTCTTCCGCTTTAGGCAATCTCT